TTAAAATCCCTGCAACGGCATTGCGTAGTTCTGCTTTTTGTCCTTGATCATGTATCTTTTGGCACGCTAGTTCTGTTGCTAATATGAAATCTTCATGTGGGATGTTTTTTGGAGGGACGGCAAAGTTTAAACCTTGAGCTAGTACTCTTTTTTCTGTTTCGGAAAGTGTGCGCTTTGATAGGTTACATACCCATTTCTCATTTTGGTTGTGGAAAATTCCTGCTCATATTCATGTTTTAGGTGTGCGTTTATTTCATTTTCCATTTTTTCTTCCAGTGGGAAGTGTTCCTTGAACGTTTTACTTTCCTCTTCTAGTTCCCTGTTAATTTTTTCGATCTTGTTGACTGTTCCTCTTATCCTTTCTCTGATAAGGTCCTTTCTTGCTTTGTTGATGATTTTTTCTGCGTTGTTGGTATGGATCGGGTTTTTGATGTTGAGGCTTGCTGGTGTAATATCCTCGTCTCTGCAACGGGTTGAATCTGAGGTGGTTTTTGTGGCATGCTCGTGTTCTTTCGAGTCTCTCCAGCCGGTGGAAAGTGACAGTCGAAACATGTCAAGGTAAACTACATCTCCTTAAAAACTCATTGCCTGAAAAAAAGAAACCTTTCTACTTCATCTAATTCAAGTAGACAAAAAGAACCTATTTACACTAGATGTCTTATTTGTTTTGTTTTTTTGTTGAGATATTTTTTGGGGGCATTTTAGCCTTTAATCGACAGGACAGACAAGTGTGAAAGGGGGGGAGAGAGAGGGGAAGTGACATGCAGGAAATGGCCACAGGCTGGAGTCAAACCTGGGCTCCTGCAGCAACAGCTTTGTACATGGGGCGCCTGCTCTATCCACTAAGCCACCGACACCCCCAGATGTCTTATTTGTTGTCAAAACATCTGTCTGGAGCCCAAAGGTATTTTATTTACATGACAAAAAAACAGCAAATTCTCACACTTTAGAAATTGGACAATCAAGACATTTCTGGCATTTTTGCCTGGAAAAAGACTGAAATGATGACCACATGGTTGATGTTTTGAAGCTTGAATCCGTTGTTAATGGCAAGTTGTAGTGAATGTGCAAAACAAGGCTGAGATTCCTATTCCAGCCGTACCATACGAGCTCCATATTGCTAGCACTGTCAGGCACGCGCGCTGAGGCTGTACTGTTAAAGGGATAGTGCACCCAAAAATGAAAATTCAGCCATTATCTACTCACTCTCATGCTGAGGAACGCTCTGGTGAAGTTTTAGAGTCCTCATATCCCTTGCGGAGATCGGCGGGGGAGCGGCTAGCACACCTAATGGCAGACGGCACCCCAGACTAACGTCCAAGAACACAAAATAGAATCCACAAAGTATCTCCATACTGCTCATCCGTAGTGATCCAAGTGTCCTGAAGCCCTGACATAAAAAGTTGTTTCAAAAAACGTCATATGAACTCTGTTTTTAGCCTCACTGTAGCCTGTAGCTCTGACTGCTTCTCTGTGCTCCGCGCTCATGTGTGCACGCTCAGAGTGATCGGTTATGCACGGTTTCTGAAGAGCAGCAGTCTCGTCAGTACTGATGTCCAGATTCTCAAGTGCAGGCATTGCCAATTCCCAGTCTGAGCAGCAAAGACTTTCCTCATCCGTTGGCATTGCTTTGCATTTGAAACAACTACACCACCAGGTTTCAAGTGCTCGACTCCGGTAATCTGAGACTGGCTGAGGGTTAGGCTCATGAGCTGAGGCGGCTGCTTCGTCCAGTAGCCTGAGTTCCGTCAGTATACTCGGGCTCAAACAAATACAGCTCAACAAAGAAATGCTGTTCCTCCTCAATTTCAAAGTCTTCAGACATGTTGGGCTGTCCTTTGCTAAAAGACCATAGTGCAACTTATCTTTTAGCTACTGTGGTTACCATTGTCTCCCCCTGCCGTGCACGTGTCACGTGATGTTAACATGGGTAAGCAAAGCTCATGCTTTCACTGGTGTTGCGCAAGCGCGCACACATGAGCACGGAGCACAGAGAAGCAGTCAGAGTTACAGGTTACAGTGAGGCTAACAACAGAGTTCATATGACGTTTTTAAAAACAACTTTTTATGTCGGGGCTTCAGGACACTTGGATCACTACGGATGAACAGTATGGAAATACTTTGTGGATTCAATTTTGTGTACTTGGACGTTAGTCTGGGGCGCCGTCTGCCATTAGGTGTGCTAGCCACTCCCCCTGCCGATCTCCGCAAGGGATGTGAGGACTCTAAAACTTCACCAGAGCGTTCCTCAGGATGAGGGTGAGTAGATAATGGCTGAATTTTCATTTTTGGGTGCACTATCCCTTTAAGTCCCCAGTGTTTACTGCACTGTTCACATGCATTATCTTCATAAGTAGTGATAGCTCAGTCCATAGGGACATAAGAACTGGAGGGTCGCTGGTTCAAGTAGGGATGGGTATCATCAAGATTTTATCTATACTACTACTTTTATCAATACTCCTTATCGATTTGGTACTTAAGCAGTACTCTTATCGGTCATTTTCATTTCTAAATAATTGCTTTATAGAAAATATATTAATTTAAAAAGAAAAAATTCAGACCAGGATAACTAAATATTTCAAATAAAACAGATTGTTGTTTCTAGAGCAGCAACAGTATTTTTCACCACAGCAAAGTCACTATATAAATGATATTCCTGACATGATAATACTGAGTGAAGTTTAGTATTTATCAATCAGTCCTCCTGTCCTCTGTCCTCTTGTCCTCTGTGCCCCTGTCTCTCTGCCGCTAACACTGGCGCTGGTAGAGAGAGGAGGGGCCGTTTGTCTCAGCCAGCAGCTTAGTTTGGAAGTATCTACCCAGTTTTAACATAAATGTCAAACTAACTTAGTCTACATACAGAAAGCTGTCATTTTAGCTTATAAGTAACAATTTGCTATTAGCCGAACTAGTGTGCTGTCTAAACTAGCATGTAAGACATAACATTAGTGGCGGTGGATGAGAGACTGCGGAATATCGCTGTCTACATGTTTACATATTCATGCTTGGTTTGGCTTCTTACTCGCTAAGATTTGTTTGCACTTACAGTAACGAGTTTAGCTGCTATAATTTTCGAGTTATCTTCGCTTTGCTTCCACCACGGCCACTCGGCTGTTCATCGATTACCGTGTTGAGTAGGTGTGTGTGTTTGTGTGTATGTGGAGGAGGTCGGCCCCAGCACAGAGCACAGGTGAGAGGCTACAAGATGATAATGAATTAAACCAAAATGTGTAAAAGTACCGATAAAGGAACCAATACCGTCAGAGCTTATCAACAGTACAGTCTTTATGTGTATATGATAACAGAATGGAAAAAATGGAATTTCCCCGCAGTAATAAATTAAGTATCTTCTTCTTCTAAAGTTTCTCCAGTTGTGCAGTGACAGTTTTTCTTCAACTGAAGAAATGCCATCAAACTTCAAAAACCCTCCCCTGAATGAAGCTGATGGGTGGCATGTACTTTGCTGTCATCTTAGTGATGAGGGTCGTTGTTTGCTCTGCATGTCGATCATCAAACTTAAGTCTTCGGATGACAAATCAACAACAAATATGCACAGCCATTTGAGAGCAGGGATTCCAGCACAAAGTGGAGCTCTGTCTGCACTTTAACAGTCAATGACAAGCTTTGGGATATGCTAGCTTAACCTTGCTGAGTGTGCTCTGCACCTCATTTTTGTTTATTTTTTCGCAGAAGTTCCACACAGAACTTTTTGATGGCTGTAGAAGTCTCTGCATGTTTCTGCTGTTTGCATGATTTCCAGCGTCTTGGCTCTAACAACGTTGTAGTAAAATGCTATACTGCCTTGTGTGGAAAACACTGTGCTACACACGTTTTACTGGAGCCTGGGTGCAGACTTCCATCTGTGTTACTGGTGATGAAGAAATACAGAGAATTTTGGACGGAGCAGTGAGTGACAACAACCCTGCCCTCATTTAACAGTACTGTTTGCAGGGAAATGTTAAACGGACCTAAGGTCTAGGTGTCATGTCTGATGGGGTTACTTTTGGTTCCTAAAGTACTACATCAAAAGTGTTTGGTGGAAACAGGGCTATACATCTCTCTCTCTCTCTCGTATCCTATTACTGCATCTTGCTAACTCGGCCATTCTGGATGTCACTAACTCGGCTTCTTCTCCGGAGCCTTTGTGCTCCACTGTCTCTCAGATTAACTCATATCGCAGCGGTGCCTGGATAGCGTGACGTGTGTGGTTGTGCTGCTGCCGTGGTCCTGCCAGATGCCTCCTGCTGCTGCTGCCATCATTAGTCATTAGTCATACTTCTACTGTTATTATACACATATGATTATTGTCACACATGTATACTGCCAGATATTAATATATACTTTCAACATATTGTACCACAGTAGCCTGAACTATAATATTATTACTTTCATTAATGTTGTTGTAAGCTACTGTCATTACCGTCTGTCCTGCATCTCTCTCTCTCTCTCTCTCTCTCTTTCTGTCTCATTGTGTCATAGGGATTACTGTTAATTTATTATGCTGATCTGTTCTGTACAACATCTATTGCACGTTTGTCCGTCCTGGAAGAGGGATCCCTCCTCAGTTGCTCTTCCTGAGGTTTCTACCGTTTTTCCTTATCCGCTGTGAGGGTCCAAAGGACAGAGGGATGTTGTATGCTGTAAAGCCCTGTGAGGCAAATTGTGATTTGTGATATTGGGCTTTATAAATAAAATTGATTGATTGATAGACATGTACACTGTCCAAATAATCTATTGACATGCCCAATGATACTTCGACATGCTGCCTGGAGGAGCCAGGGATCAAACCCCCAATCTTCTTACTGGTGGACGACCTGCTCTACCTCCCGCCCAACGGTCGCTCCTTGCTAGCATGTCAACACTTTTAAATCGATATGCTCTGATACTTTGGAAGCCTGTGGCTGCATATATTAAAATAACATAATATATCCAGACGAACTTTACTTTTTCTTTTGTGTGTGCATGATGGATAAAAGAAGAAAAATTCAAAATGCTCTTACATCCAGCTCACACTCATAGAGAGTGTCATCCAGCAGGGTGACTTTGATCTCCATGGTTTTGGGTCGGCGTGGAGCTCTGGGAGTTTTGGCCTCCTCCTCCTCTGTGGTCTTCTCTTCCTCCTCTCTTTTACTGCCTCCTTCAGGACCACACTTCTTCTCCTCCTCCTTCTCCTTCTCCTTCTCCTCCACCTTGTCCTTCTCCAGGGCAGCCTCCTCTCCTTTGTCCTTGTTGTTCTCTTCGTCCTTTCCACCCTCCCTCTCCTCAGCTTCTTTCTTCTCTACCTGGACAGCCTGACAAAGACACTTTCATTACAATGCAGTCTACACTCTCTTAAGAATGTGCCTTCGTGACTATTTAGTCTTGACGTTCGGAACTTTTTTTTATTACAGACATCAATCTGTTTACAAGCAAGTTAAACTGGTGTGTGCATCCATGGTCATTTTAGTAATGGTTGTAATTATGGACATAAAAACAATGCTGTGAATCTTGCATAAGGTTCATGATGCAACAGGTGTTGCGGCTCTGATGACTTCATCAATTAATGCCTGAATTTCATCTATCAATACTATTTTATAATTTTTACATGTTCCAAATAAATATCAATCAATCAAAAAGTAACGAGCTTTTCAAAATTAAGGCTTAAAAATCAATTCCTTTGGTTTGGTGCCAGAAGTCTTTCATTCACTTACACAGCTCCCTCACCCATAGATCATCCACACGTCATGTACACTGATCAAGAATCAGATCAACACGACAACAGCACATTGCATCTTTTGTCCACATTTAAATCACCAGAGCTGCTTTCTTTCAGTCGCATAATATGTGACAGGGAGAATGACGGTTCATTTCATTGTGGATTCAGCTGCTGTTAGCACAGGGAGAGACCCTGTGGAGACTTCTACGGACAGCTTGCTGACTTTGTAGTTAGGCTGGTAAAACTGAAAGAAATAGAAGCATAAAATTCACTGCGGGTCTCACCTTATTGAATACGAAAGTTTAAACAGGCATCTGGAGAACAACACAATAGTTCATTACAATGCAACCGAGGACATGACTGCCACTAGTATTGGGAGAATAACTACATTTCTGTTATTATGATGGCTATTTTCAAATGCTTCAGAAACAAGAGGAGATATTAAAATTCTGCATTTAGTAAATAGTTCCCAGCAGAATCAAATTGTTTACAAGGTATTCAACCTTTCAACTTTTCTTTTCATTAATTAGAATACATTTGAGGTTCCAAATGCTTATCTCCTTTCTTTACGGACTGTATGAAGGTGGCTAAGAATGTCACAGAACATTATACTGGGGATGAAAGACTTCTTTGCAGAGAGGCTGTTATAAGATCTAGCCTTGTAAAGAAAGTAGTTTTGTCTGTCACTGAGCCTCTCACCCATGTCTTATCGTCCAGAACAGGTGCTATACCAAGTGACCTTAAAGTAGCTGAAGTCATAGTGCTATTCAAATCAGGTGATTCCAGTTTATGTAATAATTATTGTCCTATATCTGTTTTACCATTTTTTTCTGTAGTTCTTGAAAAACAAGTATAGTTCAGAATGAAAAAGCATATGGATGAGAGCAACATACTGTATAGCCATAAATATGGTTTTCGGAAAAAAATGTCAACAGAAATTGCAGCTTGTTAACAAAATCACCACAGCCTTCGACAACAAGAACTCTCAGCATATTTTTAAAAGGTGTTTGACACTGTTGATCACAATATCCCTTTTGCCAAATTACAGAAATATGGCTTTCATGATTCTGCTTTATAATGGCTGCTTGAGTATTTAATGGACAGAGAACAGTATGTCTCTATTAATAGGTACGATTCAAATAGAGCTAAACTACTTTGTCGATTACCTCACTCCATGCTTGGACCCTTTTTGTTCTGAATTTACATACATGACCTACTTAGGGTCTGCAAAAATGTATTGCCTTTTTTATTTGCTGATGATACGTCTGGTATATTCACATAAAAATTTTAGCACACTTATTCAAGAATCAAATAAAGAGCTATCATCTGTTTCTAAATGGTTTCGAATGAACAAACTCTCAATATAGAAAAATCGTACTTCATGATATTTTGTGACAAAAAAAATACATAACAAAGATAAATAATAACATCATAGATAACATCAAAATAACTCAGGCTCCTTACATTAAATTTCTAGGGGTCATGGTAGATGAAAAACTAATTTTCCATATTGAACTTGTCTGTAAAAAGACTATGAAGTCAATTGGTATCTTAAGTACAGTACTTTCATTGGTCAATCATTCCTGTATTTTAACTTGTTATCATAGCCAAATTTGCCCTCATATTATGTATTGTAATACTGCTTGGTCTGCCACATGTTCTACTTATCTCAGTAAGATTTTTCTAATTCAAAAACTTTTTTTCAAGAGTGACTAACTTTGCTAAAAATGCAAATCATCTACTTCTCTCTTTAGAAAATATCAACTTTTATCAATTTTTAATGTTAACGTGTATCAGATGTGTGTATTCATGTATAAATATGTACATCTTACTCATGACTTGCCTAGCATTTTCCAGAACGACTGTCTGAAACGTCTGACACTCAAAAGACTTTTGTCTTCCATATTGTTGGACTTAACTTAATTAATATTCATTGAATTACAGAGGACCATGTCTTTGGAACAACCTACTTTCATCTCTACAATCATCATCCACATCATCGTTATTTGAAAACATCTGAAAATGACTAAAATTTGCAAAGACTTTTCAGTGATTCATTTGTAATTTGTTTTTCTGTAAACTGTAGATCTCTAACAATTTTGTATGAGGCGCCGTACAAGACATAATTCATTCTGGCCCTCTCACACACATACAGTGGTGGAAAAAAGTTTTCAGACACCCTTACAATTTTACACAGTCTCAAATATTATCATGAAATATTTGTGGAAAAATCTTTTTTGTGTTTCAAAAGGTGTGGCTGCATTAGACAGATACAAACAAATACAAATTATATTTTTTT